TGTGCCAAATTTGTTGGCAATCAGCTCAGCCGTGTTCCAGAGATCTGGAAGCAGCACCCTACCGACCGGTCCGGAACCCATGGGAAAACATTGCCTGGTGGGTGCCTACTGCCTACCTACATGCCAAGTTTAAGCGAGACCGTGCCGGTGATTCCGAGTTATTGTAATGGGAACAAATCTGACACTTGTTCTTTGCATTTGCGCGTGCAGTGGGGGACCCACACGCAACTTCCTGACAGAATTACCGCATGTCAATCGCCCCAGCGGCTGCCGAGATAGGCCTCTCAGAATCGTTACAGGCCGGGCCGGACCAGCCGGATCGCTCATACTGAGATTTTCGTCATGTTGAAAGACTCGTTTCGCGCTCGCTCGTAATAAAGGATGACGCTTGCCACCGCGGTGCGCTGGACCCTTGGCGCTGCCTAAAGGCGGTACCATCCTGATCGTGTAGTCATCGTGTAGCAGCGTTCGTACGGTTCGCAAGTCGGTGCGTTAAGAGGCATCCCACGATACATATGAGTACCTCATGCTCGATCGTAGCATCTGCAGCTGTTCAACACGCTGCAGTCAACCGGGTCGCCAGGTTGACTCACAGCATAGCAACACTAACGGTCGGGCCGGCGGATCGGCCAGCCGGGGACGGTACCTTTATGGCAGCAGAGTCCATCAGCCGTTTCCTCGCTCCAGACACCCGTAGCGGTGCGATAGGTGAAGCACGCACGATACCTGTGACGGCAGCAGATTCTTTCCATCGTCCCGTCACCTCCGACGTTGATAATCACTGCACTGCAAGAAAACGTGCTCGGCAGCGACCGCTGCTGGTCCGCTTCACTCGCCCGGGCCGCGTTGAGTGGACCTCAGCCGTCCCGCTCACGGCGGCCCGCTGGTGACGTCACGAACCCTCCGGCGAGGTCAGGTCGGAACACCGCTCGACAGTGCCGGCCGGCGCGGCTCTAGAGGCCAACCGCGGATACGCGTTTGAGCAAGGATGCGGCGTTACCATTAACTGGCATTTAGCTGCATTGTCCTGGCAGCGGCGTTCATTGGCACAATATCGCCACGAATCAACTGCTGCCCGAGCAATAGATGAACTAGTCTTTGCCATCGCCCCCCCCCCCCACCCTCCTTACCCCCCCCCCGATTTTGTAATGCATCGTTTGATTTTCACGCATTGTTCACGATCACTTTCTCTGTTTTCAGGATGCCTAAATGCTGATTGAGACAAATATATTAGTACCTAGCTTTAACATGCATGTGTATATGTTTTGACTCAATACTGCGGCGGCGGCAAACAGATAACTACGAACGCCAACAACAGCAGGAGACCAAGACGGTGGGCACGGCACTGGTGACGTTGACGGGCACCGGTGTCACCTAATATGGTTGAGTCTGTGTGTCCGGTGTCGTGGCCTAGCTACAGGCACGAAGGTTTTCTTGCGCGGCTTTTTGGAAAACTCTGCAGTGCGGTCTAGGAGTGAACTCCGCAGTTTTCAAAATTCAAGCCATTTCTTTCCATGCAACGACATAATATGAGGACGCTTTTAGGGCTCAAAGGGGGCGCCCCAAATTTAAAGGTACAGGACAATGGGCTTGACCTGAATGCTCGCCTATGCTGGATACGTCTCTGCTCTGGAGGCTGAGGGGCGCCATGTTTTTTTTTCTTGGTGCGCCCAATCGCCTGTGATTTTTAATGGGGTGCCTGTTACGCTTTGCAGATCAGCATCCGTGGTGTTGACTTGTGTGCCGAGTGCTCTGCCCCCTGGAAGGGGCGCCATCGTTCAGAGGGGCGCCGAATGTTCTTGAGGGATGCAACTGCAAGTAATATTGAATGGGGGCGCCGGATGTTCTGGAGGGGCGTCAGTGATATTGAATGGTGTGCCGCATGCTCTGAATGGGACGCCAGCGATAATGAATGGGGCGCCCAGTCGCCCGTGATCTTCAATGGGGCGCCTGATACGTTTAAGAGACGTGTCGGTGGTGTTAAATGGCGTGCCGAGTGATCAAGAAGGGGCGACATTTTTCTGAAGGGGCACGTCATATACTCTGGATGGTGTGCATTTAATACTGCAGGCGCGGATCCAGGGGCGGCGGGGGTAGCCGCCCCTCCCCCCGGCAAAGTGGCGCCCTTTCAGCTGTCCGGTGCTCGGCGCCGTCTAGCGCCGGGCACCGGATAACGTATATAAGGCACGCTTTAGCACTACCAATATCCACGACCCATGCACCGACGCCCCACACAAACCTCCAACGCAACGGCAACAGTAGCTGGTAGTGGATTGCATACTTAACATAAATCCCTGTGGCGCCCTTTCAGATCCCGCCATCACCCCTGTCAGCATTACATGCGCACCATCCAGAGTATGTGACGTGCCCCTTCCGAAAAATGTTACCCTTGATCACTCGGCACGCCATTTAACACCACCAACGTGTCTCAAAACGTATCAGGCGCCCCATTAAAGATCACGGGCGAGTGGGTGCCCATTCATTATCGCTGGCGTCCCTCTCAGAGCATCCAGCGCACCTTTCAATATCACTGACGCCCCTCCAGAACATCCGGCGCCTCTATTCAATATTACTGGCACCCCTCAAGAGCCATCCGGCGCCCATTCCAGGCGGCAGGGCACTCGGCACACTAGTCAACACCACAGACACATCTGCAAAGCGTAACAGGCGCCCCATTGAAGATGACAGGCGATTGGGCGCCCCATTGAAGAAAAACATGGCGCCCCTCAGCCTCCAGAGCAGAGGCGTATCCAGCATACGCGGGCATTCAGGTCAAGCCCATTGTCCTGTACATTTAAATTTGGGGCGCCCCTTTGGGCCCTAAAAGCGTCCTCATATTATGTCGTTGCATGGAAAGAAATGACTTGAATTTTGAAAACTCCGGAATTCACTCCCAGACCCCACTACAGAGCTTTCCAAAAAGTCGCGCAAGAAAACCTTCGTGCTTGTAGCTAGGCCACGACACCGGACACACAGACTCAACCATATTAGGTGACACCGGTGCCCGTCAACGTCACCAGTGCCGTGTCCGCCGTCTCAGGTCTCCGGCTGCTGCTGTCGTTCGTAGTTATCAGTTTGCCGCCGCCGCAGTACTGAGCCGAAATTTATATGTATATGCACATACATGTTAAAGCTAGGTACTAATATATTTGTCTCAATCAGCATATAGGCATCTTGGAAAAAAAAACAGAAAGTGATCGTGAACAATGCGTGAAAATCAAACGATGCATTACAAAATCGGGGGGGGGGGGGGGGGGTAAGGAGGGGGAGGTGTGTACAGTGGGGGGGGGGGCGATGTCAAAGACTAGTTTTGTTCATCTCTTCCTTGGGCAGCAGTTGATTCGTGGCGATATTGTGCCAATGAACGCCGATGCCAGGACAATGCAGCTAACACCGGCACTGCGGTCTCCATTATGCCCTACGAGGCAAATTTCGAGGCCTTTGAGGCAGACGCAAACGTTGAGCTAGGAAGCTGAAATTTTATATACTTCTTATTGGGCCAACAAGCAATGGGAAAACACCAGGGGAGCTGGTCTTCCAAAAACTTTATAAAATTTGACGGGGCCTAGAGTACATACAGTGCACTGTTGTGGTCTCGTAGCTTTCACCGTTTTGTTTCTTTGCATCAATTAAAAAATTGCAAAGCAGCATGTTCAGTTCATATTTACTTAACGTCTCTAGTTCTGTACCGTTTTGTTTGTTACAATACTCTCTTAATCGTTTGACCCAATGCTCAGTTTTTCTAACAGTTTCGACACTCCGACTTGACTCTATAAACTTCTTTGTCCTTATTTCTGGTGTTTCACTCTCTAGTTCGTCCTTAGTCTCAGGTATCTCAAACCCTGAGTAGGGGGGAAAGTAGGGCATGCCATCTTTCATGTTAATATCATCCTACATAGAAAAACACTAACGCAATATAAACTGTTGCGCCGGTACGGCATGTGGTAAATCTCTTCCCAACCTTGGGCTGTGAAAATGCAGTTTTATTCAAGGCCCTAAAACATAAGGTTGGACGAAGTTTCCTACCAACAAGGTACTAGAATTTGTCGTGATATTTCGTCCTTGCAGTTGTTTCTTTACAAATATAGAGCAAACAAGCATGTTTTCTAATAGTATGAAAATTTGAAAGGAAATAATAAGTCACTTTACATTTGATTCACAAAAAGCCATTTCGAAATCAAATTCAGTGTAGTTTTGACCAAACTCCAGTCGACTTATCCAGTATCTACTTAATTTTCCAGATGCGTGGTTCAGACAAACACGTTGCTATGGGCGGTTGCTAAGGACGCTATCTCGTATTTGCAGATAGTTTTGTTGTTATTACGGAGCGAGCGAAGCGAGCGTAGTCTTTCCTTAGATTAACGGAAATTTCTGAGTATGAGCGGCCGGCCGGCCGGCCGGCCGGCCGTGGTCACGCTTTTGCGAGGCTTATATCTCAGCAACCACTTCACCGATTTACACGCGGTAATTTTTGTAGGGTAGCTTCATTCCTTCTACCAAGTATTGGACTATTCCCGATGCATGTGGGTGACCCCTTATGCACGTGCCACGTGCAAAACGAAGAGGTGTCACTTTTGTAATTGTTGCAATATCTCGGTAACTACTTGGCCGATTACGCTGAAAGTTGATGTTCTGTCCGAACAAAGTCCATATTAGAACGATGGCGCGAGACAAAAGGCGCATGAAAAATGAAATGTGTTACACTGATGAAGAATGTGAAGAAATGATAACTGGGGAAAAAAGGAATTTGAAATTTGGCTCAAAACTTGGTTCATTGTGGTATTGTTATTGCTTTGGCTCGACGAATGAATGAAATGTTTGCTTGCGTTTCCATTTTTTCTTGATTGGAAAGATCCGGCACTTTTGTTTAATGTTGCAGACACAACATTATGGTCCTCCGGGCCGGATTCAGAATTAACGTAACGCACTTAATCATTTGAACTCAGAACTTGCATCAGTATTTAGATTTTGAAACATATGCGCATAACGCTGTAACGAACTAACGTAACCAATGCAGAGCTATTATTTTAAGGTTTGAGGACTTTTAACGAGTTTCATATTTTCGTAACGTAAAAATGAGCGGAGATACGAGTACGTCGGAGGCCAGCCTGAAGACGAGGAGTGAGGCTGGAACCAGCACCTCAACAGCCAGTGCCAAGCGCAGGAAGGCTCAGGTGTCCCAGTTGAAGGCGCTGCAGGCCAGACGAGCGGCTGATGAAGCTGAACGAGCGCTGGAGTCACGAAGACGGGCGGCCACCGCTGCCGCCGCCGCTGCTGAGGCTGAGGCCCAACTCGTGATACAGGAGGCCCGGGCAGAGGCTCAGAGGGCTGCTGACGCCGCCGAAATCGATGCTTTAGAATTGCGGCTCATGGAAGACGACGATTTGAAGTCCCAGTCCCCGAACGATTTGGTATTTGAAGATAGAGACAGAGAGGGAAATGGAGCGCCGGCAGACCCTAGGCCGCCCTCCGGTGTCATATCAAGACACGGTCAGATGCAGCAGTTAACCGATGTGAATCAGATACGATCTCAGTCCGCTGCAGGGCCCCAGCGAGCTCACCTGCCTGAACAAAATGCAAATGCTGACGCCCGGGAGCGCACGGAGCGCTGGCTGAGTGAGCTGCCGTGCGGTGACGGCCAGCGCCGGACCTCATCACTGCCCAAGATAACGCTGGACGAGTTTGATGGCTCTCCACTCGAATGGCCACGGTGGAGCGGACTTTTCCAGGCTCTGGTGCATGATAACGGCGCTCTCTCAGACACCGAACGTTTGACCTACCTGCAGTCTTGTCTGACAGGCGAAGCGAGAGAAGCAGTGCGTGGGCTCTTATGTGACGGCAACATGTATGAAGAGGCACTGAAAGAGCTGGATATGCAATTTGGGGACCCTCGCGCGGTTGTAACAGCTACCCTTGATGGTGTCCTCAAGCATCACTCCATAAAGGAAAATGATGTCGAGAGCCTGATGCGGTTCTCTCGCGCCCTCCACGCCGCCGTCAGTGTTCTGTCCGCCAGAGGTTTCGAAGCTGACCTCGCTGCAGTAACAAACCTGGACCAGGTCCTAGAAAAGCTGCCAAGGTCACTGGCTTGGCAGTGGGGCCAGGTGGAGCTGAAGATGGCACCACGTCGTCCCACGCTGGGAGACGTTGACCAGTGGCTGAGACCGCTGGTGCTGGCTGGTCGCCGCGCGCTCAGTGTCTCTAGACAGCGGGAGGTGATGATGCCCAGAACGCAGCGGGTGGCTCCGGCAGAGCCAGCCGGTCGACGGAGAGGCAGCAGCCAGCGCACCACTCTGGCTACAGCGACGGCAACAGAGCCCGCTCCATGTCCGGCCTGCGATGGAGAGGCGCACAATCTGGATTGCTGTCCAGTTTTCAAAGCCATGGCGCCAGTCGACCGCCTGCAGCTCGCGCGTGACAACAGACGCTGTTATCGCTGTCTCGGCGAGTCACACTGGGCCAGCCGGTGTCGAAAGAAGTTGATCTGTGGAGAGAACGGCTGTCGTGGGAAGCATCACCCACTGCTGCATGTGCCCGATCACTCGAGTCGGCGCTCAGAGGAGCAGGATGCTCCAGCACTAGCTGCTGACCAGCCGAGAAGTGTGATGGCGACAGCCTTGGATGCAACGAGCGGGCCACGTAAAGCACTGCTGCAAGTGGTTCCCGTGAGAGTACTCGGCCCAGCTGGGAAGTTCGTCGACACGCACGCGCTGCTCGACTCGGGAGCGGACACATCATTATGCATTGAGAGCGTGCTTCGGGATCTGTCGGTGACTGGGTCGACGGAGAAGCTCACGCTCGGTAACGTTGAGGGTACCGGCATGACCCGGCCTACAATGAAGGTGTCACTGCAGGTGGCTCCGCTGTCGGCAGACGGGCAATGTGAGCCTGTAAAGGTGCCCGAAGTCTTCTCCGTTCCCCAGCTCAATATCCGGCCGCAGAGAGTCGATTGGTCAAGAAGGGCTCAGTGGAAACACCTGGAAGGCATCTCGATTCCAGACACCAACGGACGGAAGATCGAATTACTCTTAGGTGCTAATGTGCTGGAGGCGATTCTCCAGCGGGAGGCCCGAGTAGGTGGGCCAGGCCAGCCGGCAGCCATCCGGACGTATTTTGGGTGGTGTCTGACGGGCAGCGTGGCACAGCTTCTACCGGTCGGCTCCCGAGAAGTGCTGCATGTGGCCCACCGCTGTGAAGGCGAAGAGAAGCTGCAAGCTCTAGTGAGAGACTTCTGGTCTACCGAGGCCTTTGGAACAAGGTACAATATGAAGCAGCCTCGCTCTCATGAAGATCGACTGGCGGAAGAGATGATGGAGTCCACCACCAAGTGGAGAGGTGACAGGTATGAAACCGGCCTTCTGTGGAAACCTGATTGCGTCCCCCTGCCCAATGACCGTAGCATGGCCCTGCGCCGCCTCGAATCTACGGAGAAGGCGCTCCGACGAGCACCAGAAAAGGCTGCAGCTTACCGCGACACTATGAGAGAGTATCTGGATAAAGGCTACGCCCGTCTGCTGACCGAAGAGGAACTACAGAAGCATCATCAGAGGTGCTGGTATTTGCCGCACCACGCGGTAACCAGCGCGAGCAAACCTGGTAAATTCCGGGTGGTGTTTGACGCAGCGGCGAAGTTTGCAGACACATCTCTCAACGAGAATTTGCTAACGGGCCCATACCTGCTGAAACAAATCCCAGGAGTGCTGCTTCGCTTCCGCCAGCAGCCAGTGGTTCTTATCGCTTATCGTGGTTCCTACGCCGTGGAAGCTCTCCGTGATACAGCCCATTTACAAGTCAGTCGGTGCTCTCACCGACCCATCTAGTTTTCGCCCTATATCGCTTGTGCCCTGTCTCTCAAAGATCATAGAACGGCTAGTTCACGAACAGTTGTACTCTTTCTTCGTTAACAACTGCCTTCTTGCTTCCGCCCAACATGGCTTTCGCCGAAACTATTCTACCGAAACGGCACTTATTCAAATTACCGATCGCATCCATCAGGCCATGGATCAGGGTCATATCTGTCTTCTTGTCTTGTTAGACCTGAGTAAATGTTTTGATGTTGTGAATCACGCCAAACTGCTTCAAAAACTCGAACTTTATGGAGTGAACACTGAGTGGTTCCAAAGTTATCTTTCGGATCATTTTCAATACGTTCGGATGAGCTCGCCACAGAACGAACAGGTGACCTCCAAACCGATGAGAAACCCGATTGGAGTGTACCAAGGTACCTCGCTCGGACCTTTGCTGTACACCGTGTACTCGAACGACATCAGTTTGTACGTAGAGAGCGAGGTGACCATCGTTCAATACGCTGATGATACTCAGCTCCTCGTTACGGGCAGAAAAAGTGACATCGCATCACTGGTCCATCGCATGGAGTGTGCACTTAACACCCTGCATCGCTGGTTTATGCAAAACTCCTTGAAACTGAACTCCAGCAAGACGCAGCTTATAGTATTGGGTACGCGCCAAATGTTACGAGGTGTTCCGCCTGTTACCCTTACCGTGAGCGGCAGTACCATCCACGAGAGTGATCGCGTCAAAAACTTGGGCGTGGTAATGGACCGCACGCTGTCTTACGAGTACCATATAGATCAGCTTGTCGGACGATGTACTGGCCTTCTCATAGGTCTTAGTCATGCCAGATATAGACTACCGAAAGAGACTCTCATCACTATTGTCAACGCATTGGTTCTGTCAACCGTGAGATATTGTATCAGTGTCTATGGTACTGCGGTCGCCAAAAACATGTCTCGTGTTCAAAAGGTGATTAACTTCGGTGCACGAGTTATTACGGGGCGGCGCAAGCATGACCGCGTGAGTGACGCACTCAGAACTCTCACCTGGCTCCCGGCTCGTGAACTGGTCACTTACCACACTCTGTGCCTACTCAAGCGCATGTTGGTGACCGGCGCTCCTCAGGATATCGCCGAGCAGCTCTCCACAGTAGGAGAGGGGAGAGAGCGCAACACACGGCAGGACGCAGACCTCGCTCTTCCACGGATAAGATCCGAGTCCGGCCGAAGGAGATTTTTGTACCGTGCTGTGTCGGCTTTCAATGCCCTGCCTCTCGCTGTCAGGGAGCAACCACCGGGCGCTTTTAAAAGGAATGTGAAACGGCGTCTGGGCCAATTTTAGAAAGTATGCGTGCTTGTGGGCTATGTATTTTTTTATGTGTGCTTGATTGCGTCACCATCCCCTTGTATTTACTTTTTCACCTCCTATGACACGAACTCAGGAATAGCCATGTTGTATGGATGGGTTCTTAAGTGTTCAATAAACAATAAACAATATCAATCGCCGATATTGAGCAGATGTTCCTGCAGGTGGCGGTCCGAGAAGAGGATCAGCCGGCACTCCGGTTCCTGTGGCGGGATCTAGAGACAGACAGACCCCCGAGCACCTATCAAATGGACCGGGTCATCTTCGGAGCTCGCTCGTCACCCGCCTCAGCGAGTTTCGTATTGAAGAAGACCGCAGAAGAGAGGGCTGAAGACACTCCCGAGGGTCGTAAAGCAGCAGCCATCGTGGTAGAAGACTTCTACATGGACGACATGGTAACTTCAGTCAACAGCCCCGCCCAGGCGAAAACTATCGTAATCGAGGTGACAAAGCTGATTTCAAGAGGCGGGTTCCGGCTGCGAAAATGGCTCAGCAATGATAAGTCTGTCCTCGCCGGAATTCCTGTGCAGGAGCGGGCTCCCAGTACAGCTGACTTAGAGAAGACACTGCCAACTGAGAAGGTGTTGGGTGTCACCTGGGATGCCGAGCAGGATGAGATTAGCAGCACGGCGCCCAGTGAGCTGGCTAATGTGCGGCAGCCGGCAACGAAGCGAGAAATACTGCGCGTCGTGGCGTCTATTTTTGACCCACTCGGATTCACCTCGCCGTTTGTGCTTCTAGCCAAACTGCAGCTGCAAGCACTCTGGTCTTGCCAGCAGGGCTGGGATGACCCACTCACCACAGAGGAATCTGATCGATGGGCGGCATGGATGGAGGAGCTGCCCCGGCTGAGTGACACCAAGCTGCCACGATGGTATGGCGTTCAGGAAGAAGCCCCTCTGAGAAGAGATCTCCACGTCTTCTGTGACGGATCTGAAAAGGCTTTTGGAGCCGTGGCGTACCTGCGTCACGAGTACTCAGACGGAACCATTCACTGTGCGTTTGTCATGGGCAAGTGCAGAGTCGCACCGCTCAAGAAACTATCTATCGTACGCCTGGAAACTCAGGCAGCCGTGCTGGCTGTGCGTCTGGCAGCGTCGGTTGTCCAAGAGCTCACTGAAGAGGTGCACCGGGTGGTGTATTGGAGTGACAGCCAGGTGGTTTTGAGCTACATAGCCAACGACAGCAAGAGATTCCACACATTTGTGGCAAACCGGATTGCTGAAATCCGTGACTTGACCGAGCCCAGCCAGTGGCGACACGTTACTGGTGAGGTCAACCCAGCTGATGACTGCTCTCGCGGGCTAACGGCCTCTGCGCTCACTAAGGACAGCCGTTGGATCCGTGGGCCCGATTTCCTGTGGAGGCCAGAAACCTGCTGGCCGGCTGGTAGTGAGCAGCATAAGCTACCTGATGAGGATCCTGAAGTTAGAGTGGTGTTAGCTACTCAACACAAAGCCAGAGAGACAACCGCGGTCATTCCTGACCCAGAGCGATTCTCAAGCTGGCTGCGCTACAGGCGTGTAGTCGGCTGGACGCAGCGATTCCTGATCAACTTCGTGGCATCTCACTCGTTCGAAGATCGCCAGAACGACTTGAGAAGTGGTCCACTGTCGGCTGATGAGCTGCAAGACGCGCAGAATCTTGTCATTCGGGAGTTGCAGCGTGGGGAGTTCACTCAAGAGCTTGCAGCGCTGAGAAGCGGAAGGTCCATCAGCACGAGTAGCTGTCTACTTATGCTCTCTCCAGTTCTTGATGAAGACGGCCTGCTTCGAGTCGGTGGGCGGCTGGTGAACGCCCCTCTGCCTGAGTCCGCCCGCCATCCGGTCATCCTGCCGCGGGACAGCCGCGTGACAGCTCTGATCGTGAAGGACGTCCACCAGAAGCTACTGCACGCCGGAGTCGAGCAGACACTGAACGATCTGCGACAGCTGTTCTGGATACCCAGAGGGAGAGCAATGGTGAGGAGAGTCCTGCACAGCTGTCCGGTGTGTCGCCGGCGCCGCGCAAAACCGTGCCAGCCGAAGATGGCAGATCTGCCCCAGGCGCGGTTCGACACGCGGCACGTGTTCAGCAGCGTCGGTCTCGATTTTTTTGGTCCTATGCTCGTCAAGACGGGAGGACGGCATGAGAAGAGGTACGGACTGTTGGTGACGTGCCTCGCCACCCGGGCAGTGCACCTCGAGCTGTGCCACTCGCTCAGCACCGACAGCTTCCTCATGGCGTTCCGCAGATTCGTCTCAAGGCGAGGCAGACCGAAAGAGGTGTTCTCTGATAACGGGACGAATCTGCGAGCAGGAGAGAGGGAGATGCGTCGGCAGATCCAAGCATGGAACGTCCACGCCATCAGTGACCGCCTCGCACAAGATGGCATTAAGTGGCATTTTAACCCGCCAGGTGCGTGTCACATGGGAGGCGCCTGGGAGCGGCTAATATCCTCCGTTAAGCGTGCTCTAAGAGCAGTGCTGAGCCAGCTGACTGTCACGGACGAAGCGCTACAGACCGTGCTGACCGAAGTTGAGGCGGTGGTCAACGGTCGACCTCTGACCCATGTGTCCACAGAAGTGGATGATTTGGAGGCGATTACGCCGAACCATCTTCTGCTCGGCCGACGGGTAACTTGTCTGCCACCTGGCGTCTTCGACAACGGCGAGTCTGCGAGCAGGAGGATCTGGCGACAAACACAAGCTCTGACAGACCAGTTCTGGACCAGATGGCTGAAGGAATATGTCCCCAGCCTGACCTGTCGCCGCAAGTGGACAAGAGACATGCGGAACTTGGCGCCCGGCGACCTGGTTTTGATCGCAGAAGATAACGTGCCGCGGGGTCAGTGGCCCCTCGGCAGAGTGATCGAAGTGATGCCCGGCCCTGACGGCCGGGTGAGGTCAGCTCGTCTGCGCGCTCGTGGTGGTACAGTGCACCGACCGGCCACCAAGATATGCCTTCTCGAGGAGGCGAGATAACTGCTGACGGTGTCCAGTGATACCGGCGTCTCACGCGCGCGTGCGCGTGGAGGGGGGAGGATGTTCTGTCCGAACAAAGTCCATATTAGAACGATGGCGCGAGACAAAAGGCGCATGAAAAATGAAATGTGTTACACTGATGAAGAATGTGAAGAAATGATAACTGGGGAAAAAAGGAATTTGAAATTTGGCTCAAAACTTGGTTCATTGTGGTATTGTTATTGCTTTGGCTCGACGAATGAATGAAATGTTTGCTTGCGTTTCCATTTTTTCTTGATTGGAAAGATCCGGCACTTTTGTTTAATGTTGCAGACACAACAGTTGGCATGTAGGTAGGCACCCACTAGGCACTGCATATACATGTGCCAGAGTTGGGGTGCTGCTGCACGTGCGCACGTGCAGGGGTCGTTTCCAGATCTCGAGAACGGCTCGACCGATTGCGCTCAAATTTGGTACACGGTTAGGGACCGGTTAGTAGGGTGCCGTGCACAAGTCAGTTGGGACCCATTTTGCACGTGCGCACGTGCAGGGTGCCGCTTCCAGATCTCGAGAACGGCTGGGCCGATTGTGCCCAAATTTGGCACATCGCTAGAGACCAGTTAGTAGGGTGCAGTGTGTAATGATCGTGTGTAAACTCAAAATAAAACTGCAATGTGATGTAGAATTTGTATCAACACAAAAGAAGAAACAGAACAAATTTTCTTTGAATCAAAATTCTTGCTATGTAACAAATTTCATCCTGAAACAAAACGAGACATTGATTAGCACAAATAAAATGCTTAGTATGGCCAGACAAATTTAAATGACACATATTCACAAAAATAATCCTTACTTCATTGCAGCCAAAATTCAAACTATGTAGCTGAGTAGCTGATAGGTCATGACAAATCTTGCGTTCAAAATTTAAATGTGATATTCTCGTGCGATACTCTTCTTTCGTTTTCGCTATTGCAATTCTTGCAATACACTCCCCCCACGATTCGTCATAGTCATCGTCATTCGACATCGTCATTTTCATGCGCTTCCAAGTTCCAGTATTGGTACAAGACGATGTATAGGAAGTTTGACTATGGCGTCGGGCTGGCCAGTGCTTGCTTGCTTTTACCTACTTGCTTGCATTTGTAGCATTTTGGGAAAGTGCTGTATCGCAGTATCGCAGAGTAGCGTTCCTCACTTTGTCATCTTAATTGATATGCACTTAGATATGAACTGAACCCCTTTCTTGAACTTGTAAGGACTGACTGATATGTCATTTCTCGACAGGTAGGTAGTGACAGAAAATCTGGTCCTCTTTGACACACAGATCCAGGCCCGATATGGTATGGTCGGGTGAGCCTGATGTCCGCTGGGTTGTCAGTAGCTGCCATCCGCCACCATTCATTTTGTTCCGAATGAATTTGAATTTCTGCAAATTTGGTCGCGATAAACAAGTCACATCCATACAATTCCTTTGGAATTTGATCCCTCATGATAGCAGAATTCACGACATCAAGAAAGTTTTTGTAAATAAAGTTCATTTCTTGCTGGATTGTTTTTCTCAGTCTGCAGTCTAATGCCGTAATCAGTTTCAATTGCACATACACGCATGCTTCGTATGCTTGAATACTTGCATCAAATAAAGTAATCAGTATAGGTTCACCAACAGTATTCAACGGTTTCGGACACCGAGCTAATCTTTCGTCCTGTAACTTGTAACCTGTAACTTTGACAAACTGCTTCCTCAATTTGTTTTGCACATCTTCGCCCAAACTAAAAGTATCTTTCTCATGAGGAACTGGCTGAATAAAATCGTCAGCATAGCTATATCTTATTGTTATAATAGTGGCTTTTCCATGTGTGCTCCTGTTTGTTTCTGCAATTGTTTTCAGTGCTACCATTGCTATTGCTATCAATGCTAACAGCTGAATACCATTAAAAACAATGTGCATTGGAGTCGATGGAGAGTCTGGCCTGACAAGTTCGTGATGTTGCATGTAACGTACGGGATCCGTAGAATTTTCTATCTCTTCATTTGATGATTTTGGAGCTATTCCTCGTGTTACTTTATCTTCCGTTTGCTTGACATAATTATTTCTGTGTTCTTCTCCCATTTTAGTGACATCGCTAAAATTATTGACGGTGTCCGAATCATCCTTCTTCGTGGTGTGTAATGCATCCGAGTGGACGCAACCACGAACACAAAAACCAAATTGATTTCTTAGTAATTGGATCTTTTCTATCGTTTTAACAACTTCTGGTAGTAGGACGCAGCAGTCTGTCCCAACAAGCAGATCAACTTTACCGTGTGGTCTTTTGATGTATTCTGGTTGAATACGAAATATGTTTGCAATATTGATCATGTCGATTTCCTCTAATTCTGTAATTTCTTCTATCCCATATGCATTAATTTCCCAATATTTTCCGTCCTCGTCATATAGAGGAACGACATATCGTTTAGTCGTCAATGCTTGATATTGATTTCCAATTTTCTTGATAGATAATTCAACATCCATACCAGTGAGATTTAACGTAGCTGCAGTTTTCCGATCAATGAGTGACACATTCGCTCCGGAATCCCATAAAACCGCAAGTTTACTCTCGTTGCAGATGACATGGCTAACTGCAAGCAATGGCTCTTGTGTTTTACTTCTAGTCATGTGAATCGCATTTGTGGAGTCATTGACCGGAATTCTGTCAAGATGCAGATATGGATGATGGCGCTTGCCGCATTTTTGTCGCAGATGCTTTAGTTTGTCACATTGGTTGACAAAAGGACATGCCATGGCTATATGCCTTTGCTTCAAACAATTAAAACACACTCCATTTCGTTTTAGACTACAAAGTTTCTCTTCATGATTTGATTTTAAAAAATCGTTACACTTATAAATTGGATGTGCGTCTGTTTTATGTATCCAACAAATATTATTGTCGGCACTGGAGAGTTGTTTCTTTTGATTGGGTCCGTTGTTTCGTTTCGTTCGATCGTCAAATAAATGTTCAATTCGTTCGGTCATGTTTTGAACTTGATTACAAAGTTGAATCATGTTATTCTGAGAATTGTTCGCTTTCATTTCGTTCGTTTCCTCGGATTCGCCGTTCGTTTCGCTGTCACACTTCACTGTATCCAATTCAACGTTATGCACTGTTTTGCTGGTGAATTTTGGTTTAGAATCGGCTGGATTTCGTACATCATTTTCCATATATTCTATTACTCTTTTTTCCTGGAGTAAATATGACAAAAGTTTTTGAAATGTCGAACTGGCTGGTGTATCTACATGTTCTCGCCGATCCAGTAGTGTGACCCATTCCCGCTTTTGCGTTTTGGGAAGTAGCCTTTCTATCATCGTTACCATTGTTGTGTCCATCTCATTTCCCATTCCCATTCTCTTCAGCTCCAACCAGTTCTTCTCTACTATCTTCACCATGTGAATAAATTTAACGTGGTCCCCTTCTGCGATAGGTCTTAACTCTTTAATTTCGTGTATGATTGAATCAACTAATTTTCGTGGCTCTCCGTACTTCGCGTCGAGTCGCCGAAACATTTCGGCATAATCGTCTTCTATTCCTCTGATCGTATTCAGTGCGTCGTCCGTTAAGCATTGACGTAAGGCATACGCGTCCTTTCCAAACTGCTTTTTCATTAACCTGTCAAAATCCTGCTTGAAACTGGAATATTGCCGAATATTGCCAGAGAACTGCGGCGCATTTAGAGGTTTGACTTTTATTTCTGACAATTTAGCATGTTCCTTTTGATTTTTAGTTGCAAAGTGCATTCTTACTTCATCCATGTATGCTTCAATATCAATCATATATTCGTCACTTTCTTCCAACAATTTATCAATCAAATGGTGTGGCCCAGTTGCATTGATTGCTGCGTTGACAAAGTCGTTACACTTTTCGAGTTGACGGTACGAGTCCTTAATGTCTTCAAATTTTTCTTGGATCGCCAATAGTGGACCATCTTTTTCAATCATGTCGCGAAAGCCCCAAATTTTCCTAGTAAACTTTCGTTTTGCATTTCCTCGTTCTTGTTTCGCTTTTCGTATGTCTTTCGTTGTATCCGATGTTCGTGGTTCCTCCTCTTCTAGCTTCTTGTTCATTTTTAAGTAGTTTTACTTAAATTATTTTACTTTACTCAAGTTACTTTATAGTAGGTTTACTCAAGTTTACTTACTCAAGTAGGTTTGTTCAAGTTTCAAAGAAGTTATGACTATGAAGATGAAATGTAATGATCGTGTGTAAACTCAAAATAAAACTGCAATGTGATGTAGAATTTGTATCAACACAAAAGAAGAAACAGAACAAATTTTCTTTGAATCAAAATTCTTGCTATGTAACAAATTTCATCCTGAAACAAAACGAGACATTGATTAGCACAAATAAAATGCTTAGTATGGCCAGACAAATTTAAATGACACATATTCACAAAAATAATCCTTACTTCATTGCAGCCAAAATTCAAACTATGTAGCTGAGTAGCTGATAGGTCATGACAAATCTTGCGTTCAAAATTTAAATGTGATATTCTCGTGCGATACTCTTCTTTCGTTTTCGCTATTGCAATTCTTGCAATACACAGTGCACAAGTCAGTTGGAGGTACCCCCTCGCAATTTCGCACGTGCAAGGCCCACCCTCTCGCTCGCTCCGTTAGTCGCCCCAAAAGGCGTTATAGGTGAAATAGGGTAAAACAAGCTCTTTGGATATTTTCCTGTATTTCGGGGCTCATCTAATTTATCTAGCTTTAGCATAATATTTTTACTTTAGCATATCATGGTTCCAGACACAGGTGGTTAATTTCAGCGCGTAAAGAAATAAGAATAAAGACTTATTATGTTATACAGAATGCAAGTCGCCAGTCCCTGGTGGTAAAGTGAATGATACACAGAGATATCTGTTTTTATCCCGGTAGAAGCATCCTTGTGATCTAAGTGTGATCGATCATAAATTGTCTAAGAATCAGAAGTTTAGCTATAAGTCAAGAACCACGAAACAACCAGCTTATAGCTGGTGGAAGAGCCGCCACTCAGAAGCTTTCAGAAAACCGTGAACGGTTGAGACAGCCGACAGGTTGAGAAATCAAGAGACCTGAGGCGCCAGAGAACCAGAGAATGCCTGGGAACTTTAACCCGGCAGGCGGTGGGCCTACCAGCCACCTTCCGCGCGGTGGGGGGGGGGGCATTTTTTGCCCCCCCCCCGTATCTCCGAAACTACTGGACGGATCCAGAAAATTCAAACGGCGCTCGATAGCCCTGTCAAATTTGTCGAAGGAAACCAAATTTCATTGACCTCGGGGTCACCGATGACGTCACAGGTCAGGTCAAAGATAAAATGTTTCACCGTTCACGGGGCTTCTAGGGAAAGCGCTATAACACCGAGTAAAACGCATTTTGTCGAAAATCAGCGATAAGGCGTCAGTTGTCTAGTACATATGTTGCTATTAGAGGTCACTGGTCATACCAGGTCAGGTCACAGGTCAGGTCACCAAAGGTCACCAAGGGTCACCCACATGAGCCCAACTTTACTAAGGTTATGCGATGCATGTTTTATGGCCAGTTTTCATTTCCAACTCAATGGTGTTGGTTATAAGACCATCAGGTACGGTTTAGGTCACTTTCTGGTGGAGGTCAGGTCAAGGTCAGGTCAAAAAAGGTCAAATATCAAAGTTGATATTTTGCATAAAATGGGTATTGATTCGATGCAGCTCGTCACGGGGAGTCTAATGGTGGTCTTTGTTTTGCGCTACGAGGTCTAGAATTGCTAAAAATTGAGTTTGAAAATTTGACGTCATCAATTTTGAACAGTTTTTCGCTATAACTTGGCCAAAAAAAAAGAGGTATCGATCTCAAATTTGGTATGTAGATAGAAGGCGGTAGGGACTATCACATATATTCCGGTTTTTTCGAAATTCAAAATACTTTTTGGATTTTTTTGGCTATTATATTAAAAAAATATATTTTTTTTTTATTTTTGGGGGTCAAAATCCAAAAAATTCGAAAATCCGAAATAGCAGTTTTGTAGTCCTTTTGATTCCACACCTTTTATGTCTGAAACATTTTTCTGTATCTCTAAAGCTGTAGGCCTGACAGCTCTTCCCGCGAAACCTTTTTTTGGGTCGAAAATGGCAAAAATGACGTCACCCTGACGTCATTAGCGGCCAACCTATCATAGCCTTTGGAAAAAAAATTGGTCACCATGTGCGCTAGCTGCTCCCGGGAGGGTACTGAAAGTTTGGTGACGATCGGCGCAGCGGTTCTCGAGATATATTGAAAAACTAAGGGGGGGGGCAAAAAATGCCCCCCCCCCCACCGCCTGGAAGGTTAAGGAACCGCTGGCTACCAGATCTTGACTAGAAACCAGAAGCCATGAAATGACCATTTCATGATCTAAGACATGGATGATATAACACTGGATTGGTGTCTCGTGGAAATTAGCATTGGGATCCGCGACATTGGGATCAGGCCTGCCATCTAGCGAGAGAATTATCGTAAGTTAGGAGCAAGCCGAGTGAACGCCATCTCTCAGCATTATGACACACGTGGGTGTGGTGTGTTAGTTGGCTTGAAGTGCATATTCCCACGAGTTGGAGGTAATTTTATTTGACCTGAGACGACAAAAAATGTCTTAAATGCTTGAAAGCCAAAAACGTCAAGCAGCCTTTAGGCAATAACGAAAATAAAATGCGTGAGACAGTGTGTATTGGAACGCCCAGTCCGATCGGTTTGTACGACCTTTTCAATGGTCATTTACTCACAATGGTACAGCAGTTTGACAATATGTCATGCATATTTGGTAGGCTTATTCCTTCTTCTCCGAATTTCGCTCGATTTTCTTCATCTTAGTTAAAGGTAGTGTGCCACCTTTGAAAGATTTCCCATTTTATTTTTCCTAGGATAAGAAGCTTCTGGTTTTACCTAATATCGCAAAAAAATCAAAAATGGGCCTGGAATAGTGCCTTTTTCGCCTAAAAGTTTTTCGGTTTTTAGATATGTATAACAACTGTAGTGGGCTCACCTGCAAACAGGCGTCGGGCAACAATCGCGAATGCGGCGCACTTGTGACAATAAGCAAAGGTCATTATAGTGTTACGACCATACGACGTACGGGAATGAGTTATCAGCTGTCTAATCGTAGACAACACAATGTCGAGCCTTAAACTGTATTGGTATTGTTTCTTTTATTTGGCTGTCGAACATTATTTATGGTTTGAAATATGATTTTATGTAAAATAATTGATATGAAAAAGCCGTCTTATAAGTTATGACCCCATTTCACCACACGCAAGTGGCAGAAATGACAATGATCAGCTGACGCATTTTTCTTGGCCGAAGTCAGAGCGCGCGGCCCGACGCACCACGCGTATTTGGAAATTCCGACCTCGACGAGCATCAGAAGCCACCTAACAGGCGTGTTCGAAACCGCAGGAGCTGATGATGAACGGGTTTATCGAAACTTGATTGGATGAGCATATCGGTAATAGCGATTTCAGTGTGTGCATTTATTGTTCATAGTGGTGTGAAATGTGGTTGGGGTACGACCGACAACCCGTCGGGGCGAATTTCGCACTGGGGTACTCAAAATTTGAAGAATTTAAGACGTTTCCATGAGTTTTGAAGGTATGGATAAGTTCTAAAAATCCGGTTCTCCTTAACTGGGCCATTAACTCCATACGGTCCAAGAAAGCTGGCACACTACCTTTAATGTTACGGCACGTGTCACGTGCCAACTTAGGGGTGTCGAAATTGTTCCACATAAAGTAACTCCGCAATGGCTGGGCCCATTACAGTAAAACTTCGTCAATAGTTCGGCACCCAGTGGCCAATGCATTTCCATGTGTCACTATGGGGGTGCTACTGCACGTGCGCACGTGCGGGGTGCCGCTTCCATATCTCAAGAACGGCTGGGCGGATAACACTCAAACTTGGTACACAAATGTCATATCGATGCTCGCAAGTCGCACTGCATTGATCAGTGCTTACATTGGTGCAGAGTCATTAGGAAAACGATGAAATGAGATGCCGGGTGTGTATGCCTTTCTGTTCCAGCAGCTGATTGATCCGCAACAGGAGATCCCTGTTTGTGAAGGCTTCGTCTCCCCTTTCCACTCCTTGTTTAAAATAACATTAACAATGTACGAAGAAGATCACACATCAAAGTTGTTTTAGGCGGCTATCTTGGGCCAGGGCTGCGGAGTTGTAGTCAGAGCCAGCGGCTCTGTTCCGACTCGGAGTCGGTTGATTTTTAAAAGCTGTAGTCGGAGTATGAGCCGAACGTCACCGAAAAGTCGTCGACTCCACAGACTTACCAGGGCTGCAGAGTCGGAGTCAGAGTCGGAGTCTGTGTGAATCGACAGTTCTGCCCGGAAGAGTAGGAGTCGATATTTGGTTACCGGAATCGGAGTTGGACCCAAAGTCACTGAAATTTCATCGACTACGCAGCTGCACTGGTTGGGTCCTTTTCATAGAGCGTCTTGAATGACATATTGAGCGGCAATGACGTTAGCAATTCCGTTTAACTTTTTCATTAGACTTATAGATAGTACTTAGTACTTACGTTCGTTTTGTTCTTTGATTGGACAATTTGTTTGATTTAGGCCAAGTAAAGACTTATGTGAAAAATAGCGAAAACGACACGTGCTGGCGAAGTCTCCAATAACTCCCTGTTTCACGATTTAATGAGGAAATAACATGGAACTGCTTATCATATTACTGACCCTGCACATAAATCTATTAATTTCTACGTTTTTACTGACATATAAAGACATAATCTTTTGAAAAATTGCACAACAAGCCTGCTACTACACCACACTCCCGTGTGTCACAATGCTAATCAGCGGCGTTCACTCGGCTTGCTCCTAACTTACGACAATTATCCCGCTAGATGGCAGGCCTGAGCTCAATAATAATAATAATGCCATATATTTCGCACCATCAGAGGTACATACATCACAGTCACAAGTACATCACATCCTACATCCACCATACACTCACCACCAGACAACCACATTCCGTAGTACCATAATTATTTACATTGTTCGGCTTCCGATCGTTCGCTGGTCATTCGCTAATCTATAGGTCTCCGTCTCAATACAACACGCTTTAAATGAGCAGTGAATATGTTAACGATGCTCGCCTGGCTAGCAGAGGGCAAATCAAGTTCCACCAGCCCATATTCACGCCGAACCGCACGATGAACTCTGACCAGTGTTCCATTCTGACCAACGTCACTATCAAGCACAGTTTTGATAATCGTATTTTCACTCGATGTCAGTCGTCTATAGAATAAGAGTTGTCTACTTGCTACCAGCATTTGACACGTCAACAACCTGTTAGCATGGCATAGTGGATGATTTCTGAATGATATTGGCAACCTTAGTAACTTTTTTAAACATGAGTGATAAGCCACGCACAACTCGCGGAAAGCCTTCTTATCTCTCACAGTGTCCCATAGCTCACAACCGTAAAAACCTGTACAATATGTACGGAACAACTTGACCAGAATGTCTTTACTCGCGTGACCTATTAAAGCACTCAACATATTTACACTGGAGTACAGTGAACGCTTCATTCTGCG